ACTCAACTGCTTTTCCTATTCCTGCGAGGATTAGTATTCGCGCCTTGCCTATTCCTACGAGGATTAGGCTTGCCTGCTTGTTCTCGCATTGTGCCTCGCACGTGTCGCCTTCCGCCCCGCGCTCGTCGTCCGGCACGCCCAATGCACGCGCATCGTCCATCGCTCTATGTGCGCCCGTCCCACCTGCGTGTGCACATCGTACCCTTGCCATGCCTAGTCCCGCGCGGACTAGGTCTCGTGCGTTCGCTGGCCACTTACGCGCTACCGCGCGCAACCTGCTATCGTTGGCCTCCTCGCGCGTGTGCTTACCGCTGCCCCTTACTCCTATGCCCGTGCGGTCTCGGATGCCCGTGTTACTTCCAGTCGCGCACTCAGCACGCTTCGCGCCTATTCGGCCTATCGCCCACGCGCACCTGCCTGTGCTCAGCGCCCGTGCGCACTTACACGTACTTAGCGCCCGATACGCACTCGCCCATTCGCCTCGCATACGAGCTCGCACCCGTCTCTTAGGCCATGCATGTGTCGTTTTGGCCCTTTTTCCAGCCTCATCGGGTCGCCTCGCCTCTTGGATCTTCTTGTCGTCGGGGCTCGGAACCCACTTCCGCATCATTCCCACCCCCTTTGAGAATGTCCTTGTCCTCAAGGACTCATCCTCGACCATCCAAAACTCGAGAACTTCTTCTTCGATCACGTGCACATCCCACTCACGGTCCTCATCGACCTCGACCAAGACCTCGACTTTGAATATCGCTTCATGCGTGTTGTCCTTCTTGTGCGTCGTGTCGCGACTCTCTTCGGCCTCAGCCTCGATGTGTTGCGCGTGCCGTTCTTGCACGCACGCCTTCTCGCCAAGGCCCTCTTCGACCACGAGCAAGATCTTTTCCTCGATCTCGACCACCCCGGCTTCTTGCCCGCACGATTCTGGGAACTTCTCATTGGCCTCGACTTGTTGCTCTTCCTCCATGATCTTGAGTTGTCTTTCATACTCCTCCTTTTGCTCGTAAATCTCCTCCAAATAATCTTGCTCCCAAGGGGTTAATTCCCTCTCCAAACCTTCAAGATATTCAAGATCCTCTTGATCCCACTCTTCTAATGGTAACATCATGATTTTTATTTTTTTTTTTTGACTCTAAAATAAATCGAAAATAATAGGGAAAAAATCGAAAATTCGAACCCCCAACAAGACTCAAAAAATTCGAAACAAAAAGAAATTCGGCCCCTCAACAAAAGGTAATAACCGAAAAAAAATAACAAAGGACTAACAAGATGACACTTTTTTTTTTAATGAAAAATTCGAAATAATTCGAAAATTTCGACTCAAAAAAGAAGAGAAATTCGGTCCCTCACCAAAAGGCAAACCAAAAAAAATAAAAAGATAAGATAGACAAAATATCGATCAGCACCTCTCAATGAAAGCACCAATGATGACGGATCGATCTTTTGTCTTATACTGGGTTGCGAATAAACGACGCACTGCGGCCTTCGTTTATCCCCGATAGGTGTATCTAGCAGACGCACTCAGGGCCTTCTTCTAGATACCGTGACTTCAAGACGCACTATTGGCCTTCTCTCCGACACTGTATGTAAACACGCACTAACGGCCTTGTTTATCACACGTTAAGAACATAAAGTTCCCCCTCAAGATTTGCTCACCAATTCAATACTTCATTCAACTTGTAAAATATGATGAGGTACATGGGGTATTTATAGATACCAACTATCTCTAAATCTATTCTTACTAGGAAACTAATAAAACAATTAAATATTAAATCCTAAGGCTAGCAAATATCCTACTACCATAAATTCCTAAATCTAGTAGATCTCCTAATATCTTGACTTGCTATCCAATCCCTTGCCTTGCACTCCAAACCATTCTAGAAGCTCCTTCCGTCCAACCCTTCACCGCCTCACACGCCTCGCGTGCGCCGACTTGCACATCGCCTATTCCTAGTGCTGCTAGGCGTCGCGCGCCTTGCCTTGTACGCGCGCGCACCGTCCGCTCGCCTAGTCCTTCGATGACTAGGTCTCGCGCGCCTGCTGCGTCACTCCTATTCCTTGTAGGATTATGCTTTGAGCCAATATCCGCTATTCCTATTCCTACTAGGAATATGATCCCGGTTACGTTTCCTGATCTTCCGAGGATTACTTCCGTCACCGATCTTTCTCGCACGTTCCGGCACTCAACTGCTTTTCCTATTCCTGCGAGGATTAGTATTCGCGCCTTGCCTATTCCTACGAGGATTAGGCTTGCCTGCTTGTTCTCGCATTGTGCCTCGTACGTGTCGCCTTCCGCCCCGCGCTCGTCGTCCGGCACGCCCAATGCCCGCGCATCGTCCATCGCTCTATGTGCGCCCGTCCCACCTGCGCGTGCACATCGTACCCTTGCCATGCCTAGTCCCGCGCGGACTAGGTCTCGTGCGTTCGCTGGCCACTTGCGTGCTACCGCGCGCAACCTGCTATCGTTGGCCTCCTCGCGCGCGTGCTTACCGCTGCCCCTTACTCCTATGCCCGTGTGGTCTCGGATGCCCAAGTTACTTCCAGTCGCGCACTCAGCACGCTTCGCGCCTATTCGGCCTATCGCCCGCGCGCACCTGCCTGTGCCCAGCGCCCGTGCGCACTTACACGTACTTAGCGCCCGATATGCACTCGCCCATTCGCCTCGCATACGAGCTCGCACCCGTCTCTTAGGCCATGCATGTGTCGTTTTGGCCCTTTTTCCAGCCTCATCGGGTCGCCTCGCCTCTTGGATCTTCTTGTCGTCGGGGCTCGGAACCCACTTCCGCATCAGCGCGCCCTTGCGCCCTCATCGCCCTTATGCGCGCCTCGTCCCAGCGCGTCTCGTCCTGTCGCCCATGCCACGCCTATTCCTACGCTGCCTAGGCCTCCACTCGCGTGACCCTCATTCGCGCATGATGCAGGCTCCGCACGTATGTCGCCCTTCGCACCGCGCGTACCACCACTCGTGCAATTACCGCGCACGCCCAATCCTCCCGCTCTATTCTCGCGTCTGCCAGGCCGCTTGCGCGTGCTCCCCGGCACCCCGTGCCTTTGCGCGTTATCACCCGTCGCGCACCCGTGCCTGCCCTTTATGGCTCGCGTGCGTCTTTGCTCACCCTTTGCCCGTGCATCACCTTTCGATGCGCACCTTTCGCTTATTAGCCTTGTGATCACCTTATCGCGTGTCCTTGCGCACTTCCATGTGCGACCCCATGTTTGTGTTGACTCGTGCCGCTTCTCATGTGTTTGAGTGCCTCGCATACGAGCTTTTACCCGTCGTTTAGGCCATGCTTGCGTCGTTTTGGCCCTTTTTCCAGCCTCATCGGGTCGCCTCGCCTCTTGGATCTTCTTGTCGTCGGGGCTCAAAACCCACTCACGCATCACGCAGGCAGCAGCCTGCGCGCGAGCGCTGGGCAGCAGCACGCGCGGGCACAG